CATGTGAGAGAGAGAGAGAGGAGATCTATCCGATTGAATCGATCAGACTGATCCAATTGGTCGGTCCACTTGACTCGATCGGACCAATCATTCAATCAATCAAACCTTTTCTTTCTTTCGATAAATGAACAACAACAAAAATAACAACAGCGAAAAAGGCAAGAAAAAAAACGCCCTGGCTGTAGGTGCAGCCCCCGGTATCCCGCATCGGACACCCCCAACCACAAAAAAAAAAACTTTTCTGGCAAAAGAAACTCGTTGTACGCAGGAGTACAACGAGGGGAGGTGCGTCGTACGCGCATGTGCACGCTGCGTACATAGCGTACATAGGGACGCCTAGGCTCCAGCCTATTGATAGGGAGCACGACCAGCTGGAAACTGGGTCCAACATCCGACATCCATCTCAAGCAGGATCCGACAAAGAGAACAATGGCGTTTGCCCTCTCTCGAGGAGATTAACTACCCCCCTCAAACAAAAGAGGCAACGAGTGACCTTGAAATGGTAGCAAAATAGACCATATCTTATGCTACATGGTAAATGGAAAACCCTCCGGCAACGATGACAATACAAGCCTTCTGCAACCGAAATCTTGGCGTCTATAGGGAGGCACCTCTCCCCTTCCGCGTGGCAAAACCCCCAACCACCCATGTCTAAGCAGTGCCTTCCGCATGCACCACCTCAAACATACCGCCGTCCGAGGGCGAAGGGGCTAAAGGAGAACCGCCAACCAGCCATCATCGAAAGATATATTGAGGCAAGCTGGACACTCCAACAGCGGCGGACGGTGTCGCCAACCAGCCACCATCGAAAGATAGATCGAGGCAAGCTGGACACTCCAACAGCAGGGGCCGGTGCTGCCAACCAGCCACCGTCAAAAGATAGACCGAGGCAAGTTGGACACTCCAACAGCGGCGGACGGTGCCGCCAACCAGCCACCATGGAAAGATAGATCGAGCCAAGCTGGACACTCCAACAGCGGGGGAGGGTGCACACGGTGTGCATATGCCCAGTAGTGATCATAGTAACAGACGAACAGATGCAACAAGCAGTACCCAACCCACAACCGCATAGATCGGGAAGGAAAACAGAAGAGGGTAGGCCTGACGGCGAAAGCATCTTCTGTAAAGCGTGTCGACAAACCCTACATGATGGAAAGCGCACCGTTCAAAAGGCGGTGGGAGAAAACATCACTAATTCAGTCAATCACGTGACTGCCACCCCGCAACTCCTTTTTGAAAGAGTGCGGGGATACCAGTCAACATGGCGAAGCAGCGCTTTGCACTGCTGTAGTGATGATTAGAACAAGGCAGGTAACGCTATACAAACAATGAGATTGATCAATCGTGGACCTTAACAGGGGTAGACGATGGCTAACGGAATACACACACCAACTATCGTTCCAAAGATGGGAGGGACAAATCCATCCCAACCAACTGGATCCCCCTCACCGCCATCTGTCCACGTAAGAGGCACAGCGATAAACGCCAACAAACCTTCGCCGTCGAGGCAACCTAGAGCAGCCGGCCAAACAAAGCGACCGAGGGATCCGGCCGGGTTACGCGCTAAACGGTAAATCGACACCACCTACCAAAACAAGATGTCAGAAGAACTGACACGAGCACATCAGAAGAAATGACAAGACCACATCGCAAAGTGCGTAACCCAGGCGGACCACCCTCCTCCGCCATCTTGCCACTTTAGAGCCATGGGGGCAGATATCGAGAAACATCCCCCATCAGGGCAATCCCAAGCAGTAGGCTCACCAACGCAACCGGGGGAGACGAGGGGGGGAAAGGCATTTCTTTTGAACTGTTTTCCTTGAATAGTAAGTCTCGAAAACACCAAAACAACAAAACATATCATTCTAACGCCAGTTAAAAATATGTGAGGTGAGTTAAAAATATATGACGTGCGCACTAAGCTCATGAAAGGCACTCTCTCGGCACAGGACAACCGTCCTTCGGGAAACACAAGAGCAGAGAGCAGCGGACAAAAGGGGGGGAATCGCAACCGTCGCACCGGACATCAGCAAGTAGATCGCCAGCAGAGACTGGCACCTCCCGTACGTACGCCTTAGCAGTTCATAGCTCCTGTAGAGAGCAAAACGACGCTTGCCCCAAGTTGTGCTTGTCACTCGTCAAAATTAATGTCCTAAGATGCTATCCAGTATACTGCCGTTAAATGCCAACGGTAACGGCAACGTTGTTAATTTAAGGGGCTACCCTTAATGCCCTAAGATGGGCTACCCTTAACATTAATTCTAAGGGGTACCTATTAATGTCCTAAGATGGGCTACCCTTAACATTAATTATAAGGGGTACCTATTTCCCAAATTCTAAGGTAAACAGCGCCTTTGTGTGAGTATTCAACAGCAACGTACATGCAGACGGCAAGGCAATGCATTCGCAACACTCGTCCTCGCTGAAACGTAGTGGACTAATAGGACAAACACACACTACAGACGCCACTACTGCCCACATCCCAGACTCGTCAATTCCGCCGCTCCAAACTCACCAGCCTATCATGATGACAACTGAAAAAAATGAGAAAAGATGGGTGGGGGGTAGGCCCCTAACATAGTAATTTGGGAAATAGGTACCCCTTAGAATGTCTACACAGTCACTTACAGTTCACCACGGAGCACCCACATTTGAAATTTGAACCATGGTTGCACCTAACAGTTCTCTCTGAATCCTGAAATCTGGACATTCGGACATCAACAGTCCAGACTACTGTCCGCACACAGAAATGTGGTTTGTTTCCCCCCCCCCCACAAATACATGCAAGTATACTGAGGATAGGATTTTGTTAAATCTACAAGCAACTGAAGAAAAGAAATTTATAATAAACAGTTTTCAACTCTCTCATGTCTATTTTTAACTAAAACTGCTATGTGGTTAAGTGCATCTCTCTCTCTCTCTCTCTCTCTCTCTCTCTCTCTCTCTCTCACACACACACACACACACACACACACACACACACACACAGTTTTAGCTTTGTCAGCCTTTTTCTGTTGTCTGTTCTTCCCCTGATTATTTCTAACTTTTTTTGTGTGCCCAACTGAGCACCCTTGAGTAGTGCCCAACAGTCGGTAGTTCCTCGTTTGGAGTGCCTACTGCACTCCTACGGGGCTGCTCGGTTCGGGATGTCTGTGTTGCCTGTCGGTGATGACGGATGTTCGTCGGAGTGACTCCCTGGCTCAGCGGGTGATGGGAACCAACAGTCTGCGGGGTTCAATCGTGATGTGAGTAGGTCATGTGCTGCTTTGCTCCGTGTTGGATGTGTGGATGTCCTCGTCTGTGCTGTGCCGCTGCCTTGCTGCCTGTCCCGCTTGCTTCACGTGTGGTTCTTTGCGCTCTGCCGCTGCCTTGCTGCCTGTCCCGCTTGCTTCGCGTGTGGTTCTTTGCAGCTTGATGCGTTCGCTGTGCGGTGTGGCCGTGTTGTTGGTGTTGCCTTGCACTTCGCTGCTCCGCTGTCATGCTGCTCATCCGTTGGCCATGCCTTCCGTGCTTGCCACTTATGTGCCCTGTAGGTTGGTTGCCTTGTTGCTGGTGTCTTGTGCTCCGCTCCACGATTGTCCAGCTGCTGGTTCACTCGCCCTGCCGTCTCCTGCAGTGCTTTTGCCTTGCTTGTGTTGCCTTGTGCTTCACTACATGGCTGCCGCACTGTGTACCATGTCGTTCCTTGCAGTCGTTTTTGGTGTTGTGCAGCCGTGTTGCCTCTACTGTGTTGCCTGGTGCTTCACGGGGTTGCTGCCCGCTGCTATGTTCCTCTTGGGGACAGTCTGCCTTCAACAAGGGTCAAAGGGTGCATGACCCAAACCATCAAATACGGGGATTCCACAGATTGTCGAGGGTTCAGCCTCCTGACGAGTCGGTGCAACTCCGACAAAACAATCTATCATCAGTTTTATTATTTTCAGTCTTTGCTTTGTTTTACTTGTATTTTTTTCAGTCTTTGCTTTGTGTATACTTGTATTTTTTTGGGTGTTGTTTTTGCATTGTTGTCGTTTGTCTTGCTGTTGTTTCCCTCGCTGCCTTACGCTGTTTGCTTGCCCATCTGTCTAACCCATGCCTTTCACCCAGTGTGCTTTGTTGTTTTGTGCCGTCTCCCTGGATCAGTGGGTGGTGGGAACCAACAGTCTTCGGGGTTCAATCGTGATGTGAGTAGGTCATGTGCTGCTTTGCTCCGTGCCCTCCAGCCCTTGCTCTTTGTCGTTGCCTGGTGTCACATGCCTTTTCCTTCGTCGTCTTTTGTTTGCCTTCCCCTAGTACTTGCACTGTTTGTTTGCCCGCCCGCCTCCCCCTTTCCCTCCCAGCCTGTGTGACATGATGTCGTTATTTGCCTTGCTGTTCGTTGTATACGTTGTTGCTGGCTGTCAGTTGCTTTGTCTTATTGGACTATTGTTTATGGCTCATGGCTTAGTGCCCTCGGGCTCTAGTCCTTGTATCTTAGTAGGGTTGGTGAATGATAGAGGCTGCTGCATGCCATGGTCACAGTACAAGGGGTAATAAGGACCCAGTGGTGTTCAGATGCTTGAACGGTCCCGGTGTGGGTGATGCAAAGGCTTGCTGTATGGGTCTGTCTAAAATGGTGTGAAGAGCTCCACGTACCCTGAACGCAACTCGCCGTGATTCACGTCGTGTTACCGTTATGGCTAGTTAAACACACACACAGACACACATGCACACACACTCC